TGCCTTTCCTTCCTCCCCTGCTGGAAACCACGGAATGCTCTCTGAAGACTTCACGCAAGGGAAATCTGTCTCCTCCACTTTTCTCCCACAGATTCACAGATCTGCAGATTCAGCACTCTGCTCTCCTTGACAGTGACTTTTGATACATGGAGCACCAGAAGAGCGTGCAATATGTTTTATTCATTAACCAGTATTTTTTTCAAATGGAGGAGCACAGATAATAATCAAGAAGTAAAATACCACAGAGGCAGAGTCAAACACGTCCCCACCCTGAGCCCCAGAAGCAGGTAAAAAGCCATTTTTTCCACTCAGGCATATTATTAAATGAAGACTAACTGCTACCCCCATGGCTCTTTTTTATCTTACCCATTAAGTCCTGGTACAGTCCCGTTGGCACTGCAGTACTAAACCGACTCTCTCAAGACTTGGTAAAGCAACCTACCAGTTTCCCCAGCTCTGTCTTCTTCTCATCGGAGACTCTGGTAGCTAAGGATATAGCTGCTACTCTGCGAGGCTGGGTCACAGCAATGATGCCTTGGCGGCCAATTCCTGCTTCGTAGAGGTATTGTGGGAGCTGCGTGGTCTTCCCTGAGCCCGTTTCTCCTAAGGAACATCAAGGGAATAGTTTTTCCCTTTTATAGCGCCTTCAAATGAAAGGTCTCGACTCATTTTCCTATGTTAACTTTTAACCCTGTTGCAGGATGGGGAGGCTGAAGACAGGGAGAGGCCAGACAGCTTGCCCAAAGTCACATCGTGAAGCAGCAGCAGGCCAGGGACAGAACCCAGCACCTTGCTCGGGCTGCTAGACCGCTCCGCTGCTGAACTCCTTTCACCCAGGTACTCTCCAGCCACCCTCTGCTTGAGGAACACATTCCAGTCTGTCCGGGTACGACCTGTTGGTTGTGCAACACAGCCAACACAAGATGACAATCATGCAGAGCAAGGAACAGACACCAATTTGGTTTTATGCATATACTTACACTACACTCTAGGAAGTTTCAGAGTAAAGCTGCAAGTAAATCAAAGCAAAGGTTTTGTCACAACAGCAAGGAGTGGGTTACGGTTTGAGACTCTCAGAGGAGCACTCAGGGCACCAAGGAGCCAGCAAGTCTTCCTCTGCACCTTCCCAAAAGCAACCAAGGTCCCTGCAGGCTCCAGTGCGTGTCTTCTCCATCCACGCAGCACCACTACCCCATTCCCCCCCGGTGTATTTCGAACACAGCCGCTGCGCAGACCCCGCTACCAAAGACGGTGATCAGCAGAAGCAGCCCTTACCGCAGCCTCGGCAACAAAAAGCGTAACTCCCTGGGCGCAGCACAAAGCACAGCGCTCAGAGGCACTGCAAGTAAAACTGGCTTGAAGTGCGACGTGCAGGGAAGAGCAGAGAATGTTTTCAATGTCACTGCCACTTTTATTACAGCTTAAAGCACATCAGTAACTCAAATCAGACCCCTTTCAGCTTCCTACTGACCCACTACAAGAATGGCTCTACACAAAAGCACAAGGCTCCAGCAAACAGAGCCCTGTGCTCTCAACCCTTGCAAAAGCACACTGGTGGAGCGAGGTGAGAACTGACGAGGAGGAGGAATAAGCATAAGAAATTCAGAAAGATGACCACCAAGCAGAGAAGCAGCAAACTGTAAAATTACCAAATTGTAAGCTCTCCAGCTGCAGACTGGAAATAGCATGGGTGAGCTTTTTAGCTTACTCCACAGCTGTAAAATTAAGTGGCGTATTGCAGTGTATATATAGCAAGCAATAACGACAATCTCAGGATTACATGGAGGAAAGGAGATAAATGCAGTCATGTCTATCAGTTACCATGATAATTAATAACTAATTTTAGTTTTTAAGGGTTCACATATAGGAGGGGAATACAAAGCATTTTTCATTTAATTTTAATAATGCTGCGTGTTTAGACTTAAAAGCTGGGAAGCTGTATGTCTTCAGCTCCTGAAAGCCAGACAAAAAGCTTGTTGGCTTGGACTCAGAGAAAGCACAATAAAAGCGGTGAATGCCCCTGAAAATGCAGCCGAGGAGACACTTCTTCCAAAGAGGGGGGTTCTCCTGTTTGCCTTGAAGCCGGCTGAACACCAGGCAGATCACAGAATCCTAGAACGGTTTGGGTTGGAAGGGACCTTAAAGACCATCTGGTTCCAACCCCCCTGCCATGAG